AATCCATCAAAATGGGGAAGTCTGTGCAGCTGGGGTCTCTGCTGCAGTAGGATCTTGCTGCATGGGTCTTTCCATCTCCGTGGATCAGGAGGGAAAAGTCAGATTAGAAGTGAGGCAGGGCTATAATCTTAAATAGTGTGCCCATGTCTCTATGACTGCTGTCTTGTCTACATATCCAGAGGTGTATAGGGGAAATTTCCCATTAATACCATAGAGTGGACTAAATTTAAATTAAGAAAACCAAACCAAATCATAGTATGTGTGTGTGTGGTCAATTTATGGTCTTCTTTCACTATTTACAATGTCTGACAGAATTAGATACTTATGCCACATTATGTAATTCATTATATTACTTCAATCTTGTACATTTATTCTTTTTGATTCTGAATCTAGAAACATTGATTCCAATTACTTTAATCAAAACTACAAGCCTAGATAAGCTTAGATTGATGCTTACTCAATAGATGGAAACCACAAGTGGAGAGAATTCCTTCCCCTTTCTCAGTGCTCTTTCTTAGCTTTGTCTCAGCATCTATGGCATGTGGTGCATCCCTGGCTAGCATTCCATTGTAAGAGCTGCAAATGAACTATGCTCTTGTTTTTTGAGTCTTTGCAATATTTTTCCTGCCTGGGTTCCTGGTTCACATTCGCCCCCTTTGGGTAAAACAACCAAAACAATTGGGAGTTTACTATGTTTTAAGATTTGTTTGTTTGTTTATTTATTTATTGTATATGAGTATTTGCCCGATATTTGTCTGTGCTTCATGTCTGTCAAGTACCTGTGGATACCAGGAGAGGGTGTCAGATCTACAAAATGGGAATTATACACTGTTGTATGTTCTAGGAACCAAACCTGGGTCCTTTGTTTCTCCCCGCCCCCACTGGTAACACTTGAAAATATAGATTTATTTTGAAATTCTATAATTGTAATTTCAAATATCTTAGCCTGCCAAAATTAACTGTGATAGGACTTTAGTTCTTTTTTTCTTTTAGCCTGAATTTTTCTTATTTTTAAATTTAAATTTAAATTAGAAACAAGGTTGCTTCACATGTTGATCCCAGGTCCCTCTCCCTTTCCCTCCTCTCCTCCCACGCCCTCCTACCAACCCTCCTCAATACCCCCTCATTTCCCCAGGGAGGGTAAGGCCCTCCATGGGGGTATCCATAGTTTGTCATTTCATCCAGGTCAGGGCCTAGACCCTCCCCCAAGAGTCCAGGGTGAGAGTGCATCTCTCATTTTGTAAGAGCAGGAAATATTCAAGTTCTGAGCCATTTCTCCCACCCTAAGAATATCCATTCTTAAATAACTATTTTCATTGTTCTTTGACCCACATATTTGATATCTTCATCAGTATGGGATGGCTGTCCATCCTAGAAGTTAAACAGGAGTAATGTCAATAGCCTGTAGTATCTGGGGTTCTGTGGGACCTCAATGACTAACAACTTAAAGAGACATAATCCGGGCACTGGGTTTTGTATTTGCTAGACTATGATTGCTACTAGGGGTGTTGTTCCTTTGTAATAGGGTAACTTGGTTTAAATTCTATGTATGTATGTGTGTGAGCATGTATAAGCTTCTACAGTAGTAAATTTTCTTACAACATCTCAAAAGGTCTTTAGTGTCCATTACCACATCCCCAATATTTCCTTTATCCTTTCCTCCCATTTCCACTCAATTTAACCCTTCCAGTTCCATTACCCTCCCTTTATCCCTTTATACCATCATCTTATATCTCCTCTCCCATGATAGTCCTCCCCTTGTGTTTTCTCATAAGTTCCCCGATGTCTATGGATATGCCAAAAGAAGCACATATATCTGAATATTCAATGCAAATATCACATACGAGAAAAAGAAACAAGCAAAGTTTGTTATTTTGAGTCTAAGTTATGTCAGTGGACCCTTGAACTGGCAACATAATTAGAGCTAAGAGCCTGTGCCTAGGTAGGTCATATGCCTGAAGGGAGAAGCCACTACTGCTATTCTACTAAATTAACATCATATTAAAGTGGGTTTCATGACTTGTCATACTACACAGATATTAGTGCATTTCTCAATCCTCATCAGAGAAGCTTCTTGTTGTAGTGGATGGTGATTAGCAGACACCCACTACTTGTCAAAATACAGAGAATAAAAGACTGCAGAGTGTTCATCACTAATTGGGACCTTGTAGCACATTCTGTTTCCCCCAAGGCATAGGGATCTTAGAAGAAGAGTGAGCATAAAGACTGTAAAAGCCATAGACTGTGTATAACTGCAATAAAGTGGTTTCTGGATACGAAAGGACCATTACATGTATGAACTCAGAGCAGTTATGACAGCATGAAGAATACCTAGATTTTGTTCAGCCAGACAAAATCTCAGCATGGAGTCTTGGAAGGTGGGCACCCCTAACTGAGGACCCATTAGCAAGTTAAGCTGCTGGGGAAAGGAATCAGTTTCTTTAAAGCTCTATAACCCTGCCCTTTATAGGACCATGCTCTAGGGTTAGCCCTTCACCCAAGAGTAACTGTACTCATTAGGCTTAAATACAGGACATGAAATTGGGTAAGTAGTGATGTGGGGGGGGGGATTTAGAAGGAATTGGGATAAGCAGATAAATAAGATCAAAATACTTTATCTGAAATTCTCAAAGAATTAAGAAATAGTATTAACAAAATAATAACAAGAAATATTAAATTCATTCTTTTCAGAGATTCTATTAGAACAACTGAGCACATTTTGTCTGTTCTGTGTTGTTTATGCATTTGTCTCTTAAGATCGATTGTCTTGTTTCCCTTGTAGGTATAAAGACACATCCATCTTGACATTTATTGCTTCTTCTAAGTGACACATTTAGTTTATGGTCAATTCTGGATAACAATGAATCCTATTTGATAGAGTAATATATGGCAATTGTAGAATTATATTTTTGTCATGCATGATTGAATATTAAGTTATGCGTAATGTTCCTAAAAATTCAGAGCATTTTTTGTTTGTGCTTTAGGCATGGATTTTATTAATCATTACTTTGAAACACTATACAAGTCTAATCTCAGAAAGTAGAAGTTAAAAAATCCTTTATATATAAACTCACGTGCTTACTCGTATGAATCCAGGGCTACTGTTGTATATTTGAGGCCAGTCTGATGACAATTCCTACCACCCAAAAGAATTGAGAAAGTTGTCTTTAAAAAAACATCAGTCAATCAACCAACCAAACAAGCTAATAGCAGATGTGGCTCAGGTGGTGGAATGCTTGTGAGGCATCCACAAGGCCCACATAAGCTGAGTGTAGAGTTGCAGTAGGTAGAAACAAGAAGAGCACAAGTTCAAGGTTCTTAGTTACATGTTTGAGGCCAGTCTGGGACGAATGATCCAGGTTCAAAAACAAAACAATAATAAAAACAGATAATGAATCCCTCTTCTGCTGCGAACAAAAACCAGCACCCAGAAAGCACTGTTGTTTATCAACCACAAGGATAGCCGAGTCGGACAGCATCATCAGCTCCCAACACTGGCCCAGAGAATTCCCAGTGCTCCTGTATTAACCTCAGCTTAGCCTTGCATGAGGTACACACATACCACAGGGCCTCTGAATCCTGTGGCCAACCTGGGCAGAAGTGTGGTCTGGAGTATTTCCCCTCTCCTGTTACTGGCAGACTGGTCTTTGAAAGCCCATCTCTGCGGGATGGCATCTACTCCCATTAGAAAGGACATATGATAGAGAGATTTTTAGGAAATGAATGACAGGGACACTTTATATTCTTAGTTCCTAGAAATTCAGAGCATTTTTATTATTTGGGTCTCTGTTTTTCAACCTGTAAATTGTCAGAATTCTGTTGCTGATGTTACCTTCTCTCATGAAGTACTGGTTTTTAATCTTTGTTAATGTTTATTTGTTAATGACTATCATTAAGAAATAACTTACCAAGTTATCATTTGGGATTTGTGTATTATTCCTTCCACTGGGAAATACAGAAATGTCATAAAGCATGCCAAAGGACCTAAGCATCCAGCTACAATGACAAATCCAGTACACATAAAATTTAAGTGTAAAGTGTAGACATTGTAATCAGCATCAATAATGCTCCAATTGCTTACAGAACTGAGATCACTTTCAGTTAATTTGCTGACTTAACCTAAAACCACTCTACAGGACACAATGGACAGTCATCCAGAACTGCGAGGGAGAAAAACTTCCATTGCCACTCGCAAGGTTATGAAACCAAGACCTCCCAATCTGGCAAAGGCATTTGTCTTTGGACCCATGCCATCCTGGGTTTTACTTAAGCTTCACTGATCGATGCCAGTCTATGTCATCAGTCCTGGGAATACATTCATCCTGTCTGATAGCTTAAAATGTTCAAGCCTGTTTCTTCAACGATGGCTGTGTGCATGTGTCATATTTTACTTCACGCATTTCTGTAAGCTGCTCTACATCTTTTGGTCTTATATTTGTGTTTTCCTGAAGCAGCTCTAGTATATATAATAAAACTAAGGTCTTTTATTCTTTTTTTCTCCTAAGAGATCAAGTCTTTGTTTCATTACATTTGTACATAAATTTTTAAAGTGATTTCTAAATATGTGGTTAATATTGGCTTCATTGTTACACATTATGCACATTGTATACTCCTGTCACTCTCCTCAACTACAGAGATTGATTGTGTATGTGTATATATTAATGCTTTTAAATCAGGATTTCTACCAATTAATTTCAATTTTTACTGCTTATATCCCCTTTCTCTACTATATTTAATAGAGAAGTATAATTAAATTATTGATTATTATTGTAGGAGTTTGCACCATCACAGCCAATTCTCTTGCCTGAGTATTGGTGTCTGAACATATGACCTCATGCTGGAGCTACACATGCCTAAGCCCTCCATTCAGACACTAACCTAATCATTAAAGTTTTATGTACCTACATACATCTTTTTGTTTTATATTTAGTTTTACATTAATTTAAAATAAAATACTTACTTTATTGTAGTATAATTTCCATTTTCTATTATTTCCATAGGTAAAAAGATGGCTTATCAGAAGGTCAATGCAGATCTAAGAACCTCAGGACACTCACAGTATTTAGACAATGATGACATCCAAGCCACTGCCCTTGATTTAGAGTGGGATATGGAGAAGGAATTGGAAGAGCCTGGCTTTGACCAGTTCCAACAAGATAATGCTGAGACCCAGAACTTGGGGCAGTCAGAAACTTTAGACCTCCACCTTGATTCCATTCAACCAGCAACTTCACCCAAAGGAAGGTTCCAGAGACTTCAAGAAGAGACTGACTATGTTACCCACTACCCAAGATCCACACCAAAGAGCAACCACTGCAACGTTTGCTACCTTTTAAAAACGATTTGCACAGCCACCATTCTATTTATTTTTGGGATTCTAATAGGTTATTATGCACACACGAATTGCCCTTCTGATGCCACACCATCAAGATCAAATGACCCTCAGTTTTACCAGGATATTCTCAAGACAATCAAAGCAGAAGACATTAAGAAATCCTTCAGGTAGGTGCAGAGAAATGAATGGTGGTGAGATGCATTTCCTGTAAAGAGATTGAACTTCAGGGGTAAGTAAGTTTCTCAAGCGGGTGGACTCAACTTACACCAGTAATAGAAACTTTTTAAAGGAAACACATTTCAAGGTTTATGGTTCTGCAATATAATTTTATGATGTTATCATATGAATTGATATTAGCAACTATAACTACCATGACAACGAAAAGACCGTAGTCTATGTATTTTCTCCCTTTGAGAAATCCTGTTTGGCCTTGGGGAGCTACAAAGATGGTTTAAAATAAAGGTAATAAAAACTAGAATATTTGTCATATAGTTCCACATTTTAATGATACCACACTGAAATGCATATGCTTTATAGAATGAGATAACTGCCATTAATTACTTACAGGGCCACTAGGGGCTGTTAATACCTTGCATTCTTCAACTTTCAAGTAGGCACTAACTGTTTAAACACACTAGGTTCCAACCATCTGACAGTTCAAAGCTACTTTCACTATTGAAAGTGACTTGGCGCATAGCAATGGAACCATAATTCAGACCCCCTGAAGGTGAGTGCCAGTGAGGAGGTCTCGGAAATATATGTGACCGCAGGTAGTAGATCAGTATTTATCACTAGCATAAAAATGGACTTTGGGATCCTATTCCACACAGAGGAATTCTCTCTTAGCCGAGACACACTGGGGAGTATCTAGGCCATGCTCAAAAGGATATGACAGACTCTGAAGATCCCCCATGGAAGGCCTCACCCTCCCTGGGGAGCAGAAAAGGTATGGGTTAGGGACTTATTTGGGCACAGAGGAAGAGAAAAGGGAGAGGGAACTGAGATTGGCATGTAAAAACAATCTTTTTTTCTAATTTAAATAAAAAAATAAAGTCACACAAAAAGAGTCATTGATTATTCTATAAATTTATAATAAACCCTTCTTATTGAAGATTTAATCTGAGTTGTTGTCAAGATTGCCAATGTTACACAACATGTGACAACCTGACAGTTGTGTTTTGCTATTGGCTCACAGTTTACATATAGAGTAAAATGGATGAAGAAGAAAAACTGGAAATTGTCATTAAGAACTTACGAGAAACAAACAGCCCTTTTATTTGTACCTAGATAGAGTCCAGTAGTACTGCTATCCCATAATATTTTTGTGGGTCATAATGATTTACAATTGCAGAGTTGCTGGCAAGTCTGCATGTCTAGTGATCTTGCTAGGAAAACTTACACTGAAGATGTATGACATGTAGTAATGCTGATGAATTCTAATGCTCTCCCTGAACACATGTCTAAGTGACAAATGGGAATATAGTTCCTATGCACAGCTTGTTTGGTTTTCACCGCTGCTTAAGCACCACTGGTAGTATAATTGGCAGGTGATACAGCTTTCTATGATATTTCTCAATGTAAAATTTCTATATTGAATTGAGTTAAAATTGTGTTTTATAAAGATCTGTTGTATCCATTATGAGTCACCTACACATCAGGAAATTCCTTTCATATTTCAAGCAATGGGTCTCAAATGTTTTATTTTATTTCATATGTTGTATAGTGTTTATGAACACATATATCTGAAGACCAAAAGTCATTACCAGGGGTCTTCATTATCTGTTCTCCATCTTTCTTTTTGAGACAGTGTGTATATAGTCAGCTAGTTGACCAGAAAGTCCTAGGTGTCATTCTCTTTTCTTCTTGCCTATAGTGAGACTTCAGCTGTCATTTGTAGTCATGCTTGGGTTTTACATGGGTGTTATAAATAGAAGTCACATCCTTATGCTTAGAAGACAGGGACTTAATGACCAAACTACTTGTCTAGTCAGCCCCAAGCAATGGCTATACAATGTAGGCCTGTTATTCCATCAATGATGAAGGATGTTGAGTTTATCAGAAAATACTAAGGCAGCCCAGAGTGAAGTCACAAGTAAATCCAGGAAAATAAACTGGTGAAAACTGGAATGTTCTGCTTACACAAGTACAGGCAGGATGAAACTTCAACTGGAGACAATAGCAAGTCTATAGATAGTGAGAAGCAAAGCATCCTGGCTTCCTCCTGCTCCACCAAGGTCCTAGCAGTTCTTCTAATAACTGAATCCAAAGTGAGGTTGACTGAGAATCTGAGTAGTTTCTCCTAAAAGTGTCAGAGGCTGAGGTGGGGGAAGGAAGAAGGTATTCCAAGTAGATGCCTTTGGTAGAGAGATGCTATTTCTCAAGGACAATAGCTAAAATAGAACCATATAAGACTATGTTCACTTCACCAAGGCATCCAGGCTATATTGTAAATGTCACTTCTTCAAGAGACCCATGAGACTAATTTATTTTTAACGTTAAGAATAATTACATTCTCTCCAAGCTACATGTCAGTGTAAAATTTATGAGCATGGTGTAGTTCATAGCCTCAAACCCAACTTTTTTTCTTTACTTTGGCTTAGTCAGTGTTAATTCTTTATGAAGTCATGAGGGATTTTCTGCTTGCATTATATTTACTAACTAGGCTACACATATATATTCTTTCTTTATACCTTATTAATTTTGTTTATTTTTGAGCACCGAAGATTCTTTAAAAAGCTTGATAATATCCTTATTTCAAATAAACAACTGATGATAAAATTTTAAATATGTAAGTAAGTGAGAATTTTCCCACAATGGAATTTGAAGGAGAGTGGGTTTTATTTTCCAACTAAATAAAAGAAACACAACTAAATGTGATATATATATATATATATATATATATATAGTAGTCCCAACATTCATATTCACCAGGGATTAGTCTACAGGAATATCCTATGAAACTGAATATGTGAAGATACATATTCAATTATGCTCTATAAAATAATGTTTTTCTTATTCCAATAGTTTTCTTAGATAATAGTACTTTGGTCCAGATATGGTTATATTAATTATCTGAATAATATCTAACCAGTCAATGACAACATTTTCCTCAAAAATATTGCTAACCATATGCTTATTCTAAGTTATGTACTGGGGGTTTCTTGTCAAGTTGCCATAGCTACTTGGGGAAAGGGATTTATAATTGAGAAAATATCTGTATAAAATTATCCTGTAGACAAATTTGTAGTACATGTCTTTTGATTCACTGTGGGCTGATGATCCTAGGTTCTGTGAAAAACCAGACTGTACAAGTTTTTAGAATCAAGTAGGGGATAAGAAGTTCTTTTTTCATGGCTTCTGCATTAATTTCTGTCCCCATTTTTCTGCCTTAGCTCCTTCTATGTCTTCTTTCAATGATGAACAGTGATATAGAAGTATAAGCAGAATAAGCCTTTTCCTCCCCAAGTTACTTTTGGTCACAGCATTCTGTTATAGCAATAGAACTTCTCTAAGGTAGAAATTAGTACCAGTAGTGGGATATTGCTATGCTAGACCTAGCAATGTGTTTAGGGGAGGATTGTATTAACACCTGAAGCCTGGTCTGGAAAAGCCATTGGGTTCCCTGAGCACATTGACCTATTGTAGGCTCTGTTTTCTTAATGGAGTTCTCTCTGTTAATTCTCATCTCCTGCCAATGCTCTAAGAGCATTTCCAGTTTTATCAAATATTATAACAATTGTTCTATGTAAAATATATTACAGTTAACTTTCCATGAAGAGAACAAGATTACTTTGCTGAACAGTAGACCCCAGTTTATATTAGGTTCTTACAGAATTAAAGTTTATAAGAAAGAACAATTATTCAATGAAGATAGGAAGCAGGTATGTGTTACATTTATAGATTATTTATTGAGAAAATAATCTTGATATTTAGATTTTCCAAATATAATTATTATTTCAAAGTAGCAATATGCATTAAAATGTGTATTATATTCTAAATTGTGTCATTTCTCCTATATATATTATTTATTGAAATAAATGACACCACATATAAAAAGCAGATATTATCAAATGTTAAAATATTGCATTATAGCCTCAATTACAACAGAGGAAGAAGAAAATTACTACTATATTTTTTAAAGCCACTATGCAAAACTATTAAAACAAATGCTAGTTATCAGGTTTTCTAATAATACAAAATGACATTATCATCTAGAAAGCCTACACTCCAGAATTGTGTAGCTGAGGTCCTTAAGAATTACATGAGAACTCGGCCGGGCAGTGGTGGCACACGCCTTTAATCCCAGCACTCGGAAGGCAGAGGCAGGTTGATCTCTGTGAGTTTGAGGCTGGGCTGGACTCACAGCCTCCAAAACAATACAGAAAAACCCTGTCTCATAAAAACCAAAAAAAAAAAAAAAAAAAAGAACTACATGAGAACTCGTGTTTTAAAATAAGTTCATGATTATTGTTAGATTGCATTTCTTGTTCTCACCGGGCATAGACAGTCCAAAGCCCACTGGTTGAACATACCCCTTGACTGTTAGAGCAAGATATGATCATCTCTGTGTGAACTTTCCTATGGAGGTTTGAACAACTTTCTATTCAAACCTCAACGCAACTATGACAATGAAGGATGAAACAAAGAATCAATTGTACCCAACTATATCTTGGGTGAACAAAGTTTAATCCAGTTAATTACAGGAGAATGAGTGAAGCATGTTGATAAAGAAAGCATTGTTATTGATTGATATAACAATAAATAAATTTCTCCCAATAACCACTAGCTGTCAATACATCTTTAGGGAGGTGTGAGGTTTCATGATCTACCATTGGCATAATGTTAAAGGGCCTCACACAGTGTCTGATCCCACCTGAGATATGGTGTGACAGATGGACTAACAATTTACTGTTTAAGATGAAGAAGAGAAAGCAATCGTTAAAAAGTAGTGGTGTCTGTGGTATTTAGGGTCTGTGAAAAGTATCTTCCAAGATCTGAAGGACAGTGTGGCATTCATATCAAACTGATATAAAACCACCATACTTGAGGATTAGATGACTCCCCATAAAATGTACAAGGAACCAGCAAGAAAGAAATTCAGTGAGAATCCCCTTATAGTCAAAGTGCAGGAAGGTGCATGAGACAAGTCTGTGAAATAAGAACAGAA